TTTTTTTTTTTTTTTGGTATTAGAGGTGCCGCGCCGAAGGCGCCGACAGCCGTTTATAGACAATTTGGCACGGAGCCAAACTCTAGTCTTAACACAGTACACTAGAGTGTCCTTGAGAGAAGACGAGAATTGTAACAATACCGTGTATAGATCTTCACGTTCGCGCCGCTTGCGGACTTGTTCGAGTGAAAGTTGTCGAGTGATCTTGAGGTGCCATTGTCGGCCTGAGTCGTCGTTCTTCGCTAGTCGGCGTCAGTCGCGGCGTCCCGCTCGCGCTGCGTCTCGCCCCCTTCTCCCCGGTCTCCTATGAACCCCTCATACCACCGCATGAAACCCGCCATATCCAGTCCTCCACCTTCGTCCTCCTCATCCTCATCCTCCACTAGTCTCTCCACCTCCATCGAGTCGTCGTCCTCCAGCCTTTCTTCCTCCCTCCCAGTCTCGTCCCTTCTCCGATCCAATCCCCACGGTCCCGTTCGTTCCTCCGGTCTCCCCTCGCTGTCTTGACGCCTTCCCCATCGTAGTCGCCCCGTTTGCCGCACATACGCCATCAGCGCCTTTACTCCTCGCGTCTCGCCCAGTAGGTACGACCGGTCGGCCCACTTTTTCCCCGCCGCCTTCCGTAGTTGTCGGCGTTCGCTCAGGCGTGCGGGGCAGTCGTAAATGAAGTGGTTGACCGTTTCGTCGGCCTCTTCGCACGCCTCGCAGGTCGGCGCCGGTGCGCAATTGATGCGATGTAAGTGAGCATTGAGCGGCGCGTGTCCCGAACGGAGTTGGAACAGCACCGTGCTGTCCCTTCTTGACAACTCGTTCGTGATTGCGATGTGGCGCGGTGACGTAGCGTCGGGCGCCCAGTGGCAGTGGCGGTGATAACGGGGCGACATGCACCAGTCCCGTTGCCAGCGCTCCTTCAATCGGCGCGCGTACTCTTGACGTAGCGCGGACACGCTCGCCCTCAGCGGCGTGCGTAAGCAGTGGGGCAGGTCAGTCTTGACGCTCGAGCGGCCGTCGGCCGCGATCTTGGCCTGCCCGTCCACATACTCGTTGAACTCTGCATCGTCGTGCCCGGAGATCCATCGGACCGCGAGCGAGTAGCCCAGTCTCCTCTTCTGTAATAGACGGTCAGCACTGTCTCGGAACAAGTCAAGAAGATAATGCCCGGGTTGGGCCTTAGTGCAATGTTCGGTGGCCCGAATGACAGCCTGATTGTCGAGGCTGATGCTCGACGGCTTGGACGCGTGCTCGGGTTCCTCGGTGTGCAAGAGGTGTGCCCCGAGCAGTACGCCGACGGCTTCGGCCTCGTAGACTGTGTGTTCGGTTAGTGGGCCTAGGCGGTAACGCAGGACCCGCCGCTGCTCGTGTACACCGTCAGTGCGAATCAGGACAGCTGCAGCACCCGCGTATCCGTTGTAGCCAGAGCCATCCGAGTATACTCTGATGACCGAATCCATGTCCTCGTCCTCTCGGTGAGACTCCTCACGCGACTTCGCGATGTGTGTGGTGAATGTGGGCTTGAGGTGTGCTGGGTCGTAACGCATCGGGACGATGTATTCGCTGTGTTGGGGGGCCGCCTCGGGGAAGAGTCGATAGAGGTAGTGGAGAGGCGTGCGGTGCACTCGCGGGAAGGCCGCCGCGCTACGAATCGCGACTAAGTGTAACGGGTGGTTGACAGGTAGCGCGGATACGCGGGTAAGCGCGCGGAAGCATATCTTCGCCACGAGCAGGCGCATGGGGAGGAGGTTTGCGCATATATCGAGCAAGTCGTTGGGCGATGACCGCATGCCGCCTGTAATAGTCAGTGCAGCAATGCGTTGGACAGAACTGAGTCTCGCGATGACACCGGCGGATCCGCGCCGGGTGCTCATCCACATGTCTGCGCACGGAATGTCCGATGGGACAGGCAGACACCAAACGTCCGCCGCATACAACATCTTGGGTATTACTACCCCGATGTATATGCGTCGTACATATCGCGGCCGAAGGCCGTAGCTCATACGTGCGAGGCGGCGTACCTGAAGCGCGTAATCGCGGCCTTTATCCAGCGCCTGTCTCGTGTGCTCCTGCCAATTGAGCCGATTGTCCCATATAACACCGAGGAAGCGGTGGGATGAGACTGGCTCAAGACCCCATGTAGCAACGATGTGCCATGAACAGCGGCTAATGACAAGGCATATAGCCCCGTTAGTGATGAATAATGACTGGTGATCACCCTATGCCCTTCTATATTGCACCCAGGAATTCCCGAATTGCAAGCCTGCAGAACCACCTTAGCCAGCACATCTGAGATTGGCCATGACTGAGTATTACCATCTGGCCAGTATCCTCCCCTGCTCTCAGATTCTGACCTGAAATAAAGGGGATCTATAATACTTTACCCTAACTTACTGGCAACACTGCCATGGTGCAGGGGATGAGAGCCGGCGTGTTCTTGCCTGACACTGGGTTCGATTCCCCATTAGACCATGGCGGTGTTTTTTTTGTGATTTCCCCAACACCCGTCGCAAGTGGCACGCATATCTCCTCTGGCTCACGTTTGCCGGACAATGTACTCACCCAGAATAACGAAGACACTTGTCACACCAGACCGCTTTCTCATTATTCGCATCACAAAAGGGTAAGTGCATTTCAAGAGACGGAGGGGGGAAGAGGTGACGACAGATTACGCGATTCGGTATTAATGTACCCGAGAAATGATAGAAGATGTCAAGAAAACTATAGAGATATGCAAACAACGGCCCAGACAGATTCACCCAAAACCATATGAAAGTACGAGCAGGCAAGACATATGGGCTCATCCGCGATTACGCAAACCCTCCCGACGACCGCGACCGCGACCACGACCACCAGCTGCAGCTGTGGAAACACCACCTGCGCCACGACCTTTGCCAGCTCGACTTGGGGCAGGGCGGGAAGCCGGAACGGGCGGTTGATTCACAGTCGCGGCTTCCTCCTGATCGTCGGAGCTGCCTTCCGCATCTTCGTCTGTATCAGAATAGGCCGCGCTTGCCTGCCTTTTAGCGGCCCGGTCGGATGGGGAGTCAGCGGTGTTTTCGGCTGGACGCTTCCGTGAACCAGGAGCCCAGTCTTCGCCAGTCTCCATGGGGACATCGTCCTCGCCAGTCTCGCCGCTGCTATGACCAGACTCGCCGTCGCTCGCAGGAGAAGACGATTTTCGGGCAGCGCCCAAGACCGGCGGAGATTGAACGATTTGACGCCCCGGTGACGGGGACGTTGTCAGCGGAGACAAGCCACCAGGGGAGTGCGGGGAGACTGCGTCTATGTCCATCGCCAGCGCGCCATCGCTTGACTGCGGAATTGCCTGAGACGCATCGAACGAGCCCGGTGGCGGCGCATCGGCAGGAATCATGGACAGCAGATCTCGATCGCGCGAAATAGCATCGAGAAGTCGAGCGGCTGGGTCTTGGGTAGTCCGCAGAAGAGCACGATCTGGGGTGTGCACTGGGTCGGACGCAGGCGCAGGCGCAAGCGCAGCGGATGGAGACACGGATGGCATTGCAGGCGCAGCAACAGAAGACACGGCACGGCGGTTAGGCGGGGTCGCAGGCGTGAGCGAGCGAGCGATGCCGGGTTGAAATGCGCCAGGAGCCTCGGCCACCGGCGGTGTTCGACGAGTCTGAGGAACAACTGGCTGGCGAAGGACCAGGACTGGCGCCGGCGCCGCGCCAAGCCGGTCATGCTGCTCTGCAAAGACCCGCAGATTACTTGACAGCGGCCCAACGTCTTCGAGGCGCTGCACGCGGCCGACTAACACCCGCAGATCTGAGCTCAGAGCCTCCACGTTTCGACCCATTTCGTCTACACGTCCAGAAATCGGCGCTAACTCCCCGAAACGCGTGGTAAGGTCCTGAACGCTACCACGAAGGTCGGCAATGGGCGCTGTCCGTTCGGCGAGCGAGCGTTGCATCTCCTCGCTGAAGTTCGCAAACGAATTCTGCAAGTTCGTTTGAAGGTCCTGGAACATGTGCGAGAACCCATCACCTGAAGAAGGTTGAGAGGGAGTAGGAGGCGCGGGCGCCGGGACAAGCAATGTTGAAGAGTGCCCCGTGGAAATGCCGGGGACATGCGGCGCTTGTGGCAGGCGTTCAGGAGCGGCGGGCGGAGCAGGGCTGAGTTGATCACCAATGGAAGCCTGTGGGGGGGCGACCATCATGCCTGCGCTTTTGGCGAACCCTCTGACTTCCTCGCGTAGCTCACGCACAGACTCTAGAACTTCGCGATGGCGCGGCATGACGAAGTCTGTCTGATAGCGACCGGACAACCAGTCGCGATCCTGATCGCGAATCTCCCGTACTTCGTTGCGGATGTCTCGTACCTCATGGCGCATCGCGCGCTCGACATGGTTAGCGAGAAGTATATCTCCCGAAACGTTGACCGTTGACGTTGAGAGAGGAGTTGGGTGAGGGTACGAGATCCGGGACACGCCAGTGGGTATCTCGTACGTCCTATCGCCCGAGACCTGCATATCGCGATCGGGAATCACTACCCGCACATAAGTAAATACTCCGGTTGCATAAAAATATTAACTCACCAGGCCAAGGGCGTGCACGAAACACCGGCGAACCAGCCCGAGAGACGGGACGCGTGCCAGGCACATTGTCATGGAACTGGATGCCCCGATTCGCGGCGCTACGCTGCTGGGTGCCAGACGGTCGAGGGACAGCACGCCCTTTCCCTTTGCCCTTCGGGGGGCCGATGTTGGTGGGCACGGGCGTCGGCTGGTGTTCCGACTCCGTGGTAGGTGTTGCCGATTGCGCAGAGCGTGCGTCGCCTGCGTCCTCACTCTCAGACTCAGGTAGCATCGGGCGAGGCCGCGGGGGAATGGGCAGAGCGGGGCGAGCGCGAGGTGCAGGTGGACCGGACGGTGCCCGTGCATTCTGCCCTTCTTGAGGGGCGACAGAATTGTGCTTACGCGCGCGTTTACGCGAAGGCTGTGCCGGCACGCTAGCCAAATCTGGATTGTCGCCGGCACCCACGACCTGCTGACGGCGGCGCTTGCGTGCACCGGACGGCGCATTGCTAACGTCCGCCATAGCAACGTCTTCTGGAGGTGGACCGTCCTCTGTCGCAGGCGGGATATGTTCGTCGCCGTCGTCTGCTGCTGGCGTGACGGCGCTGACTGGCTCTGCGGTGTTCTCATCATGGGAAGCATGTACTGGCCTAGGCCCAGTCAAACGCGCCGGCTCCGGCGTTGCAGTAGGCCCAGCGTGTTCGGGAGCGGCGTCTTGAGGGGTAATTCCAGGAACCTGAGGATTGCCAGTTGATGGGGGCGTTTCAGTCTCAGCCTCGGCGGCGGGCCTTGCCGGACTGTACCGCGGTGCCGGGGGATCGTAAGACGGGGGTCCGCCTGTACCGCCAGAGTCGGCTCCTCGCCGTCCGCGGCCTGGGGAACAAGTTCAGAGATCGAGTGTTGGAGTATGGAGAACAGAGGCTTACCTGTTGCCCGATTGATAATATGAGATGGGAACTCGTAGACGCCGGCGCGATCCAACTCCTCCAGAAACGCTTTGCGGACCGCGAAGTCGGGTTTCGGCACCGGAGTCGAAGGAGGCCGACCACCCTCGCACTTCCCCTGACTGCCCTTCTCCCAGTAGCAGGGAAGACAAGCTTTCGAGCCGCGCGCTATGCATTTGCGGAGGTTCTTGCGGCAGGTGTTGCAAGAGACCTACGCCGATGGTTAGTCTTGAAAAATCGACAGGGCTTGCAAGACTTGCCTCAAACATCTTCGCCTGTCCATCTTCGGACACTTGGAGCCCGTGCAGAGCAGGATGCTCCCACAGGAATCCTTCGGGTATGGGCACACCCCGCGGATGAGATAGAAGTTGCGCCTTGTGCACGTTGTAGTCTTCAATATTCCATTTCAGCTCCGCTGTGAATCCGCTCGGCGGGAGCCAAGGGGACGGTTGAGCACGACGCGTGGCGCCGGGAGCGGGCGGAGGCGGTGGAGGCATGACCGGCGCTTGAGGAGGTGCTGTAGCGGTGAAAGCCGCGGTAGCGCCCTGTCCGAATGCCCACGGAGTCTGGCGCACAGATGCCGGGACATCACGGGCGCCGCCGTCGTTGCCCACGTTACGGGCGCCGTCGTCGTTGCCCACATCACGGGCGCCGTCGTCGTTGCCCACGTCACTCGGTGCATACGTTCCGCCCAGGTCGTCGTCAAGAATAATGGTAGAGCTCAACGCATCATTCGTAGCACTGGCAGCTTGCCTGGAAGGGCGGCTGCTACTTCTCGCAACAGCGGCAGCAGGAGTCGGCGAGCGTCGGCGCGACGAGTTGGTAATCGTCCGCAGGGCGTAGGCAGCGTCGTAGATATGCTGGCGGGTCAGAGGCTCTTTGTCGGCAATCTTGCCTACAAGCACATGAGGTCAGCGTGAGAAACAACTAGGCCTGTGATGTGACAGTAAGGGCCACTCACGCGCGCCCAACCACCAGTGAAGAGGTCCAAGATCCTGCGACTTGAGCTTGGTGATGTTGAAGTCAGACGGCCAGCCGCCGGCAAGAACATGTCGAACCCTGCCCATATCCCACGAGTGATTCTGCCTGGCCTCCCTTCTCGTTGTTTCCAGGAAGCGCACAAGGGGTTCAACAAACGCGGTCACGTTATGGTTTATGGCGAATTTCTAAACATCAGCGGATGAATGACTATCGCCCTCTATAACGCCGGCACCAGCGCACCATCTCCTCCAGTAAAAGTGCCCATAGCGTACGCGTCGTGCCCTTGGAAATCCGATCCGGACCTTGCGCGACATCCGAAAGACGGTCGAAAGCGCGTTTAGCTCGATTAACAGCGACAAGACCAGGCGACGCGTCTCGCGGTACTCCGTGGCCATAGAACGCTGTGAGTTCCTTCTTCAGAAGAGTAGGATCAACAACGTCAACTAGAGGCCCAGAGCCACACAAGCGACGAGCTCGCGCTTCCGCCCGGGCCCTGGACGTCTGTTCGTGGCCAGCAGCGGACGGTACGCGAGGGGCCATGACGGAACAAAGCAAGCGAGGGCAATGATGTGAACAAGCAGCGGAGGACGCGTGCGACTTCCCTTAGCGCCGAGGCACGAGGCCAGCAGTGAATGCCTGATGCGCCCACCGCGGGAAATTCGCATTTCAATTCCAGAAGCTTGATTTTAGGGTAAGCCTTGGCGCTTAAACGCCATGGCGCCGACCCTGATGTCGCGAAGTGCCGAGGACCCAATCAATTTCACACATATGCTGGAGGTTGTTGACGCGAGGTCAACGCGCTCCTTGCGCTCGAACCATCTTCATCGTCAGGCGAGGCGGCGCGAAACCGCTCTCCCGTTATGGCGGGGCGCACTCCCCAGGAAGCTATCGAGCTCTTCAGTAGCGACGAGGAGGTACCAGGCGACGACGGCGCCGATAATAGCTCTTGGTCGGACGACGACGCACCTCGCAACAGCGACAGCGATTCAGGCGACTTGTTTCCGCCTGTAGAAGCGGCAGTGGGAGACGAGGATGATGAGAGTGATGAAGATGCGGATGTGGAGGTACAAAGTTCAAGTGCGTCAACGACTTCTTGTGTTATGATTGTAGCGCGCCGACCTGCCAAATAGCCCAACCACCCCAGCGTAGCGCCACACCAGACACACCCAACATGCCTAACTTACCCCGGCGACAACCTTACGTAATGGATCACACTGCGGCATCGCTACCCATTGCCGTCGGCGTCTCCGTGCCGTCGGCGTTTGCCAGTGCCGGCATCACTGAATCCGGTGCGTCGCCCGCCCGCCGTGCCAGGGCAACGCTGAGCATTTCTCAGCTCATTTCAATCAGTGGCTTCAAAGCCTATCTGACCCGTCCGTGCGGGCTCCTCCTTACTCTGAACATATGTCCGGCCTACATGCCGCCAATGCGTTCCAGTTACAGACAAGTCTTCAGCGTGAGGCGGTGAACCTTCACACATGGCGTCAACTGCTGGCAAGATCAGAGAGCGAGATATTGGAGACGGATCGGTTACGGTGGATTATTGCTCGCATGTCTACGAGCCCATTGATGCGCGCCGCTGCTGCCGTGCAGGGAGCAGATCTGCGTTTACCGGAGACGCTGTTGAATCGCGCCGCCGCACCGCCACCCAACCTGACGTACAGACCGCCGGGAAGCGCCAACAACGAAGCAGAACCATCCTCTTCTACGGCTTCGTCCCGTCCGGCACTCGAATCAGGCGCTTCAAGCACCAGGCCTCAGGGAAAGGCGCTTGCAGATGTTCGTCCTGTGACATTCGGCGCTCCGGACAGCGATACCGTGAACAAACTTCCTAGTAGCGGGGCTCTTGGAATGGCAGAGAAGTCGCAAGGGGCTGGTAAGCCGTCCAAGGTCGCGCGGCAGCACACTACGAAACAGGCCGTTCCAACCGGCGGCAAAGCTGGCGCAGTCGGTACGTCTGGTGCAGAATGCGCGGTCGCAGGTCCTTCCGGCCTCAGTAAAGGCTCTACGTCGTCTTCATGGGGCAATGCCATTGCTGGACCGTCTTCCAGCGCCGCTGCAGTGCCACTTGCCAGGCCGTCAACATCGTCAAGCGTTGGCGCCAGACATACTGATCGCCACCGCAGCCGTGCTCGGGCCGCTGATGGGACAGAGTATCGCCAGGGTGATCGACGCCGTCGCTCAGCATCGCCTGATGCGAACTCGAACTCGAAGCGGGTGCGCCGGGACTATTGATTCACGCCGCTTTAGACATGTCGATGTAATAAGCCACATTTCTTGAATACATTTGCTCTGTTTCGTGGATCCAATCTCTGGCTCATCTCACAGAAGCGAAGTTTGAAGGTATCGTTGCAATTCAGCAAGGAGAAGTGAATATCCATTAATCAAATGGCAAACCCGGTTACATCTCGATATTCAACCAACATGGGCGTTCATACAATAGGCCCGTCACTGAAGACTCGCCGCTGCAAGAGAGTCTCGATGGCATCCACCGTCTCCCATGACACATCTTCGTTTGGTATCTGCAGCGAGTGGGCCTGTTCGGGGTACAGGCAGCAGTAAAAGGCTATGAGTCTACGCTCTTGCTCGCGCACCTTCACCATCAATACGTCTTTCGATCCTTGCAATTGAACGTACAACGACTCTGCACGAGCGCACAGATTCTCGAAAGTGCCAAACAGAGCGGAGTCGAGTGCAAGTCCCTGAATACCGGCGCCGGCGGTATTCTCAACGTTGCTCTCTGGTGCGGAATCTTCTTCAAGATCCCCTCTGAAAGGCTACTCCATTGTCCGGAGTCAGGTCCTGCAAGGGAAACGATGTGTGATATGACAGAACTCGCCTCGGTGCAGAGATAAAGGTGAGCGGCCTCCTCAGCTTGAGCTAATAAGCCATCAAAAATGGCGTTGCTCGCACCATCCTTCCACCACTCCGCAGACGTGTTCAGCCGCTCCCCACAGTTTTTAATCCATGCAGTGCATTCGCCGCGTACGATGCCGTCATCGATGGTGAGATCGACGCCCCGAGATCCGTTCAGGCGAGTCCCCTCGCGCGCGTTCGTCACTATAGCGCCAAGAGCGTCCCCGCGGGTTGCACCAGCCTCGTACTGTACGGTTCTTCGCCAGAATGGTATCTCCGGCGCCACGCCTCGAATCCCCATGTTGCCACTAAGGGCGTGACAAAACGCCTTGTGCGCCCGTGAAATCCGCATCGCGAACCAAGGGTATGTGACTCACCACTTCAAAAGTCAAACCCTTATTCAGCCTGTCCATAGGAAAATCGCCCTCCGCAAGAGTGCCGTCGACTTGAGAACCGAGAGCGTTCACAAGAGAGTTGTGTCGCGCGACAATTACATCTAGTTCTTGCTCTTGGAAGGACTCCCCCATACTAATGTCCCTTGAAGGGCAGGGATCGTAGTCTGGGTTGAGTAGGGTCTCGGGAGAAGCAGGCATGACGGTGGTAGGAAGAGAGTAACGTCGGCGCTTTAATCTCTGATACCGATGGCACATGGGTGATTTGATAATCTCTTGCAATCGTCAGGATACATGTGATTATCCACTACCTGAGCCAAGCCTATTCAACCATTGCGCAACAAATTCCTCGATATGTGATGACCCGCCATAGATATCACCATTCTCCTGAAAGTATCGACGCGCGGCTAGTACCTCTCTCACCGCTTCGGGTACGTCGCGGTAAAAATAGAGATATGCCGAAAGCAACCGGCGTTCGGTATCCAGAATTGCGTCTCGCACTACTGCTTGCTGCAAGTCAAGGAGCTCGCGTAGGTGCAACACCTGGGCGTCTACATGCTCCACTGTGTTCACCATGTCTGGCGCTCTGAGAAATCTCTCGCCGTCCCGCCCGTGTACGCCCAGAGGTGGAACATGACCGAAGCGCTACGTTAGAAAATGAGTAACCATAAAGGATTCAGAACAAAGGCTTCGTATTTCACCTCGACTGTGAATAAACAATGTGCCGCTATGCCAGCCTGAGTAGTCTCGCCTTCGATGGTGATGGCGTCGTCGTTCTCCCACCAGTGATCAAGAGGAACATCGCCAATACCGATGGTGTTTGTGAATTCGGCGATCTCTGAGAGGGACGTAGGTGCCGACGAAGAGACCGGTATCGTACACCAGTCATCCATGCCCTCGAATGCGCGGTGCTCTGCCTCAAGAATGTCGTAGGCACCAGTGCTTGAGTTGTATGCACTGTCTTGAAGTGCCGACGCCACAGACTCCTGTATTGTCCTCGGCGCTATGCCTTGTATCGCAAGAGCCCCGCTGACAGCCGCGTGTATAGCCTGAATCATACGATCGTGAGCTTGAAAGATGCGGTAAATGTCCGATTAGGCGAAGACATTCGCACCGCCTCCATTTTCATTCCGTCAGCTATGAGAGCAAGATCGACAGGTCCGCCAGGTCTCTCAAAAAGCCGCGGACCCAGGCGATCTATGATGCCGTTGAAACGTAATCTCGCCATGGCGTCCTCAGCCAGTGCAAGGTGATGATGTGTAGACATGGCGGGAAAGGGAGGTGTGCACGAGGGTCAAGTCGTCTATATAAGGCTGCCCTTGATCCGGCTAGCGCCGGCAACGCGTGATGGCCCTGCCACGTTGCATCGCTATGATACTTAAATGTTCAGACACGCCTCAGACCGCAACCCTGTCTCAAGAACCCGCCCCACCACGCAGACCTAGCTTCTATGCCGGAATACCCGTATCTTGCCCGTTTTCATTCTGGGCGACGTCGAATCGCCAATATCGTCGTCTACTTCGTCAACTTCCCCCGGACTCAGTTCCTGGTAAGGGGCATTTCATCTGAGCTGGTGCGTAGTGTACAATGAGTCATCGCTTGTATCCCTTTTACGGACTTGGCGTAGATGCTTCATCGTGCTTGGACAGGTAGCGTGAGGCTGAAGACGGGTCTCATGCCGCCGTACTGTGATTTCCTCTGGAACGTTCAGAATGCTCTTAACATCGAGGACAAGCACTTGTGGTCTTCGTTACAGCACAAGGCTCTAACCCTGCTCACCGGAAACGACGCGAGCGAACCAGAACCCCGAGACGTCTCGGGGCTTCCGATGTGGTGGCTGGATCATCCCCGCGTGATCCCCGTGGGATACAAAGCCCAGCCATTCAACGTTTCCGCTTGGGTGATCGCGGAAAGCGTTTCACACTTCAGGCAATGCATGTTGGTCGAGGTACGCTCGCCGCTGACTTGACCAGGGATGACGTCTAAGTCTTTTCCTTCAGCACGCCGATGTTCGGGAACTTCTCGATGACCTCAAGGCCGTCGCCGACGGCATTGGACAGATACAAGCATCTGCCATGGAACGGGCGCGCGCCATTGACGTGCAGCATACTGACAGCCAAGAGGTCTTTTTGCTCTTGCACAATGCGAGACAAGAAGCGGCGGCCTTTGGGCAAAGAAGGTTCGAGGACGCTCATAGGTTGCCGCACGGACCAGTACCGCTTCTGGCAGATATCCCCAGAGCCCAGTGATGCGTTTCTCAACCTATATACGGCCCCACTATTCTACTGTAACTTGCGATGCTCGATAAGGGATTTCTTTCAAAGGCGACGCTCGGCGTCAATACAGTGCTAAGTAGAAGAAGTCTGCGCCATGAGCATGTCCCACCATCCCTGCGGAAGCGTTAATCGACCTGCCGGCGGTTGAGGGTGATTGGCGTTCAACCACCGAATGACTGGAGCCCTGGCATAGCAGGCGATGCAGGCCCGCTCCTCCAAAAAGCCAGATACCTCATGCAAGTGTTGGTTCCCGGAGAATAACGCCACGGCGCCAGAGTCGTATTGCAACTTAAGCCCCAGGCCCGGAAGGGACAACATTGTGCGCGGACCCCCTCCGATTGTAAGTAGTAGATCGTAAAACTCGCGTCCTCCGCTCGACCGATCTCTATGTGCTGGCGTCCGCCGGTTGCAGATCAGGGTGACAACGTTGAAAGCGAAAGACCAGTTTTGCATATGTTGGGCGAAATCCGGGAGAGTTGAAAGATACTCAAGCGCCTTGCGGGTTTCTTGGTACTGCGTGGGATGCGAAATCGCCAAGGCGACCGACAGAAGGATACCGGTTTCTTGATTCGCCGCCAGCCAGGTCTGGGCACTAATTTGCGCTGCATTATCAGGACGTCCCCGACGAGCCCCGAGATCAGCGGACACGTATAAAGTGTCTTCAGGTCCCTGCGCGTGTGGTCGGAACGGGAATGTAAGGGAATGATGTGAGTCTCACCTCCTGGGCCTGATTCAACCATCCTGGAGACAACGTAGTCATTCCACGACCGAAAGCGAGGCCGGTGTCTTTAGCGTAGAGATACTCGGAATGCCGCCAGCGGGAGGTCGATCCGATATTATCGGGTTTAGGGGGATGAGCGGCAATGGCCTGGCTGGCGAGAGGAATGCTGGCAGCGATTTCAGCCTCGGGCGTACGTTAGCTTTCTGAAGGCGAGCAAGAAAATCAGATACCGCACCTGTCGTTCTGGAAGTAACATATCCGGAAGGTAAATCAGGATGATCTCGCCGGCTGCGATGACCGTCAGCGGCTCATTGAGCGGCGTGGACATCTTTAAAGGTGGGACGCGCTGGCGTAAGTTCTCTTCGAAAGTCGCATTGCCGCCGTTGTGACCACCAAGCAGAGCGCAGTAAGTATCCGCACTCCAGTCGACGTGAACTGCCAATGCATGGCGATTAACATTATCTCTATTTAATCCATCGATACGCACTGGGGTTTCTCATGGCTTGGATAATTCGGTGAGCGACTACGCGTATCTCAGCACAGAATTGTGCGGGCACTGCGTCCGGAAGAGGTGGAGGTGGCAAGTCATCCACAGGTAAATGAGTAGACATGCCCCGAAGAAAACACTGAACGCCATAGTTCGCGCAGATGTCGAGAAGATGGAGAGTAGCAGCCGCGGCCATGCTGGGGAGAGGCAAGAACGACCTCCAGCGCTGTTGTGTCAAGTCACACGCCGTCCCCACGCACAACGTGGGTTTGGTCGTGCCACCAAATAGGCAACAAACACGCGGAGATATACATACAGAGGCCGAAAGTGATGAACGTGAGGTTCCTGCAGCTTGATCTGGGCGGTGCTGAGCGCTCAGCACCTCAGGCGATTTACATCTTGATCGCCACCGCTCCAGAACCAGACTCCAAATTCCGCTGTTGCCATTCGTCAGGAAGAAAGGCAAGCCTTGTATGCCCGAACATACGCGAATTTGCAGACAGAGGGCCTCCCTGTGGAGGGGGCGGAAAGCTGAGGCGTGGACAAGGAATGAATCTAGAGTCGAGATTGCGGGTATTGCCGAATGACAGCACTTGATCGCGCGGTGAAGTCCTGACCTCGCCGCAAACCACCATCATGCCTCCCAACCCGCACAGCGGCTTGCTCGACATGTTTCCCGAGATCATCTCTATGATAGGCAGGTCTGCGCAGGACCAATGGCTTGCAGAGATCTTCGACGAACACCGGGCCTCATCGTCAATACGCCGCTCATCACCACCGCTTGTAATCGATCAAGCAGACTGCCGCGGGGTTACAGCTGGCTTGGTCACAGACTGTCTCAAGGATAGTGTCGCACAAATAACATCCCCGGCGCACATCCTGATGCACACTTCATCCTACCTGCGCCACGTTTTGCTTGCAGATAAGGCACTCTGTACGCAAACGAATACACTGCTTCATGAGCTGACGCTCAAGGCGAGCGGACGACACTCGGTTCCTCCCTCGCTTGCCGCAGTGGGAGCACGATTCCGATACGGGAGCGACGTACTGGTGGCTGACAAAGTCTGCTCCTGCCTACTGCTCGGGATTCGTGATTTTTATCCCACGCTACGCTTCGTGAAGGTGTCTTTGCCCTGGGACGATGTGGCGCAGCCAGACCGGACATGCACCAGCGATTTCTTCGCTCGGCATCACAGCGAGGACAGTAGTCCACTCGAGTACTTCGATCTGGAGATATTTGAAGACGTCCAGGACACGCCGAGCTACCTCTCTGCATTTCGAAGCCCACACATTCGAGTCTGCCGTGTCACCAACGCTGCGATGTTTTTTTTTGGTCCAAACCTCACCGTCCTCTACATAGTTTTCCCGTTCGGCAAACGACTTTGCGTTGGTCCCAGCCTACTCAACGCGCTGACAACAATGTCCGGCTTGCAGTCCCTAACCATCGATATCGGTAACTCCGAACTCATTGAATCACACTTGGGCAACAATTTTCACGATGCATTCCCGACGCAGATACTCCTCCAGAGGCTGCTGTACCTTCGCCTGCTACTTCCATGCGAGGTGGCCAGCTTTCTGCTTGGTCGGATGGTTCTCCCACCAGGAATTGACATGCACATCGAGCCTGTTCACGATGTGCTGGGCGGTTCCCTTGCAGAGCCCCAGATTGGAGATATAGATGTACCACGCACCATAGGCAACGTTGTGCAAGCCGAGGACCTTTGGCGCTTCGTCGCAGCTCTACTAGTACCCCCACAAGCGCCAGCGGCCTTCAGTTCCCCGCAAGATTTCATCACGCGAAGCGACGGCGACGAGGGGCACATTCTGCGCACACTCCGGGTCATGGCGATCGACATCCGTCTGGACCCTCTCAATGAACCTCCAATGGAAGACGGCGCCGGTATCCCCGAACTTGTCTCGTTGATGATTGGATCTACGACGTCAGACGTAGAGGGCATGTCTGGAGACGTCACCCGGGCCTCTCGTTCGAAGTTCGGCGATCCCGCGAGGACCCGACGCTCCCTCTCGTTCAGAAACATGGAAAGATCCGCCGAACAACGTATGGCGGGGGTAGCCCTCCTACCTCATGCAGCCTCCCTCCTTTCCGGCGAAATCGCACGGTTCGTGTTGGACGGCCAAGTTGGTACGCCCTTCACGGGACTCGTCCAGATCAGCTGTCTACTGATAGACGGCAACTCCTGGCTTCCAACCAACCCTCTTGACTGGGTGGCTCTGCTCGCGCCTTTCGACGGCATTCAGGAACTGCGATTCATGGCACCAGCCTGCAAACACGACTTGGCATGCGAGGGCGGGCCCGTCCACGGGTCCGTCACGACAGCGCATATGGAGAGCCTCGCCCAGGCGATAGGAAACGCAGGCGCTACACAGTGGCTTGTGCCTCGGGTCACTGTGATATCTCTACCTAACTATACGTCACCGCACGAAGATATAGCATCTCTTCGGTCTGCACTTGAGGACACGTGCAACAGTCCGCAACGCCTGGCCGGCCGGGCTGCGGTGGTACGATGGGTATTCGGTGGATAAGGGTTGCAACCTTGGTAGTTGCCAAATTAGGTTTGTCCTAAAAAGGGTATTCGCGTCGGACAAGACTTTTCATGAGTAGTACTTCCGCGCGCTCCTGTTGGCATGTATCTTGAGTACAGTTGTTTTTTCGTTATTATACCTCGGCTAGATCGCCACCGAAAAACGCGCGGATCGTACGCGCGCCGGTGCACGTGAGTGGTGGGAATAGATGTTATCTCGCGTCATCGATTCCGATGCCTATAAGACTGCTCGCGCCGCCTCGGGCGCGTTCTTCACTAACCGACCATGACCCCAGACTCCACGAACGAGAACTTTCGACTTCTAGACTTGCCAGTAGAGCTCATCGTTGAGATTGCGGTCTGGGCTCAGTTTCTCTGGCTTCACAGCTGTATGTTCTCTAGAGAACTCGGCGGGCCCGTCAAGCGCCTGCTCTCCGGTGAACCTCCGGCTATACCGTCTCGTGCTGAACCGTGTTGCCGCGGCGTTCCCGCTTCAACCCTCCCCGGGTGTACGCGAGTCGGTCTCAATGACATACCTAAATCTCCTGCACATTGCATGAGCTCTACATGCCGGCGCTTACGTGACATACTTTACGGGCCCGACACTCGCATCTGGCAACTGGACAATATCCTATTCAAATTTATCGCCGAGAGGTCTGGTCGCATACGCTATAGCCGCGTCGGAAGGGGCGAGAACACACGACTTCGTGAGGTGGAATACCGCTCGAAGCTCTTGATTGCCTCTCCCGCCTGCGCCTGCATCCTATCCCACATCCAACCGTTCTTCCATACACTGGTCGAGCTTAAGCTCGCTGTACCGTGGTATAGGCCTGCAGCACCTGCAACAAGCAGTGAGCAGTTCCTCATGCGTCTTCACGACGAGGACTCGAGCGCCCTGCGGTCAGTCGACTTGGAGATCTACGAATGTCGTGATGCCCCGCGTCAACCGATGATACGCTTGCTCTCATGCCACCAGCTGGAGTTCTGCAACATTACGAATGCCGCGCACTTCTACGCCAGTCCACATCTGACCTTCCTACGCATCTACTTCCCTATCTCTCGCGGCCCTCGATTTGGCGAGGAGTTCTGGGCTGGATTGGGAACGTGCGCCCCCAGCCTACAGCACCTAGAGCTCGACGTCGCGGGAGGGCACTTTACAGGCGGCGAAACCTTCGTGGACCTCCGTCGACTTGCATATCTCAAGGTGGTCGCACCTTCTCGAGATTGTGCTTGGCTATTACAGGCGTTGCAGATGCAGCCTGACGTGGACATGCACTTGGAACCAGTGGTGGACTGGAGGTTCGGCGCTGCCGCTCAAGTTGCACAGGTCGTACACGTAGGCCAGAGTGCGCCAGTGCAGGTACCCTTCGCGGCCATAGAGACCGCTGGTGATCTCGCGGGGGACCTTCGGCCTCACAGCGTCTGGAGATTCCTTTGCGCTGTGGCAGTACCGGATCACACTGCAGGCGTGTTTCACGTCCCAGCCCTCTTGCCATCGGAGCCTAGTGACTGGCAGCGAGCTGTGAAATCTATTGGTCTTGACGTCCGTCTAGATCCCTCGACGGCCACATGGGAACGGGCCTGTGCGCGATTCCCCGAACTTATCGCCGTGCACTTCGGTACAACTGCGCTGGACCACATCAGACTCTTTCCCTGCCTTGCCACCGACGCTTCGCTGCACGCAGGTCCGGCGGCGACACAACACGCAGATCGATCCGTCATCTTCAGAGACGGGATCTGGAGAGCGGATGCTCGGGAGACATTGTACGAACCTCGCCTGGCTGCACCGCTTCACGATGCCATGTCGCATATCACCCGTGCGCTAGCTGGGGAGAATGCCGATGCCGGTTTCACGGGGTTTCATAACGTGCTGGCCGTGGTCCTCTTGCCCTTGTCTTGGAAGCCGGCCTATTCACTAGGCTGGGCGTCCGTCCTGGAGCATCTCGTCAAGTTAGAGCACCTTGTGTTAACATGCAATCATCTGTGTCAACCTGATGAGGCGTTCTCCGAAACCGCTGAGGGGCTTCTCGCTCCAGCTCATCTAGCAGCCTTGGCGGTGTTTCTTAACGACGTGCGCTCTCGCGCGGGTTATCCATGCCGCCGGCTGCGGCTCGTTCAGCTCGGATCACCGCAACAGTTCGCCTCAGGCGCTTATGATCTAGCCACGACGTGGGAGGAGCAAGTGAACACGCCGGCGAGAATCAAAGCCACAGGTGTTCGCATCGCGTGTACCGTATTATGATAGATCCGGCGGGTATTTACCCTGGAGCGCACGGTGACTGACGACCATGGAACTTTTCGCGCTCCCTGCCGCTGCAATGTTGTGCTTCGTGGTGGGAGATGGTGGTATCTGCGTATACGGAGGTCATAGTCGCCCTTGTACATATTGTTTCACCGTCCACTGAAGGACTTCTTAATGTATGGACCCTAGTATCAGATTTTATCGAATGATGCATGCATATATGCACGGGAACACTACATCTCCATAAGGTGCGACGACCGTGAAACAACATCACCCCGGCTTCATATGGCCAACATATATGCATCCGTGAGGATCACCGAGCACCGGCGGTGTCCATGCCGTCGCGGTACAATTGAGACAGATCGCAAGCCCATACACCCAACGCGGAGTTTGACAGCAGACTTTAGCTACCGCCGACGATCACTCTGCTTCCGCCGGCATGTGTGTGATCAGGGAAGGGACAATTGAAACATCATTGAACCGTCGTAATCATGATTCCGAGGGACTACAAGTACAGACATAACACAGGTCAAGGTCCAGCCACAACTTCCACGTATACACAATCATAAACTGCGGTGTCGAAAGGAAATCTCTACTTCGCGGGAACGTAGCGATCAAGCAGGCTCAGGAGTTGGTCCTTCTCCTTCAGGGAGGCCTGATGGTTCTCTGACAGACAGGGTATCAGCATTGTATCCTTGGAAACATAAAGCGAGCCTTACGTTGCAACGCAGCATTCATTTCACCGAAACCTTTCTCTACGGCAGACGCCACAGCCTTCGACTCGGATCGGAATGTGGTGTTTAGATTATCGAGGCTGAGGTGGATGTCGGCGATTATCTTGAGCTGCTGCGCTTGTTCTTCGCGCTGTTCGGCCTCGAACGCAGCGTTCTGGCGAGCCAAACCCAGATTCATGACCTTCAGTTGTTGGTGAATGAAGTTGAAGAAATCTTGCCGCTCATCAGCATCTAAGCGCCCGTCGTGCGGTATTACGTGGTGCATACCAAAGAGCGCCGGCTCATCGGAGCGTGCGCTGGACTTGGTGGGTGTAATGATGTCACTGCGCTGGACTAGACAGGATAGCGTGAGTGGCAGGCAACAGGAGTAGAGACTGGGGCCGTACTGGTCTCAACGCTGGACATGAGGGGCAAAGGCAGAGTTACTGCCTGAGAAGGCCACCCATGATTCTTATATACCCTCAAGTCCACGGATCATTGCGGCGCCTTTCTGTCGGCCCCCAGATGGGTGGGACGGGCTACTGTTCTGCCCGCAATTGGCGCGCGGCGGGCGGAATTGAAGGAGACGTTCAGCCTTCGGATAGGTCCCGATGATCTTCATGTATCGTCTCGTCTTGCCCCATCCTGTCCATCACCGTCCCTTGGACGGTGCCAGACTCGTTGATGGAAGGAGACTTGACCGATCGTTTACGCA